TGAGCCGCGGAAGAATGTTTGAAGGATCAGGCATAGTTGGGCTACAGTTCGCCGGAAGCAATCGCAATAATTCATAATCTGCGCCACGACAAAGCCCAGGGCCGCTCTTTGGGAAGCGAACTCTTCCACTCGTAGATTCCAAGAATGTCTGTAAATCTGCGGAATGAAGAAGAGAGCCGTGACCCCTGACTTGGCCGGGGTCGCATGGGACATGCGTCCTTTCAATGGAAGCAGCAAGCGTTGAATGTCCCTGACATGCTCGATAGAACATGGTATAGGTGTCCCCCCTCTGTCTTCTTATTGCGATGGGCACTCCTTATACCGTGTCCACACAGCGTGGATTTTGGTTCCAATGATCTTGTGACTCTCGTTGGGAAAGATTCCCAAAACTTCGACCGTCCCTGACGGCAGCGCAGCTAAGCTGCGTGCGGCAAGGGCGTGCGATTGAAAAGTAATACCGTCGTCTTTCATGTCTCCAGAGTAGACCCAGCCTCCCGACGATCTAGCATAGTCAGAACAATGTTTTGCGAGGTATACAGCGCACTGGCCTATTTTCTTGGCCAGTACGTCCGTTCTGCAGCTCAGGGCACACCAATTGTCCGAGCTGCCCGAAGCAGCTGGATTTTCTCCATTATCTTCTCCAACGACCAGTGGCTGAAGGCATGCGCAGGCCCCCGGGGTAAACCCATCTGGAACATCGTCGGAGTGAAATTCAGCTCTAAGGTAATCCTTTGCCTGTGCGAAAGTGCCATCGTCCTGATTGAGACTCCACAACATTGCAAACATTGGGTCTTCTACAAACTTGGCCATATATCGAAGCGTATTGCCCGTTCGATTGCGGATGGCTTCGATGTGCGGCGGACCGGGACCTGTAATGTGTGCGTCATGGACCTTTTGCTTCAGTGGTCCAGGCGTATTCCGAAGTATATGTCGACGTTCCTCTGCCGTTACATACAGCCGTTTGTCCTTGAATAAAACAGCATGCCCCACTGTGACGTCTTGATCCCCGTCGCTAGGAACCGTGGATAGTGGCTAGCTCTGTCATTTGTCAGGAGCAGGCGGGAGACTTAATTTGCGAAACATATTATCAGATGCTGGTCCAAAAGGAAAAGTCTCGTCATCCATGGATTCGAAGAGCTGGGGGTCCCCTTCATATGGGAAGATCGTACCAATGTCCACGGCTCCAGTGTCTGTTCCAGGGATGTCCGGGTTGCCTGAGACATCCGGGGGCTTTGCTGCTCTCTTGGGAACATGCTTTGTCCCCTCATCTGATGGTACCTCTGTGGGACTTGATGGTTCTTCATGTGCCTCAAGGTGTTTCTCTTGCTCTGCCCTGGTTGAACCAGGCGGAGGAATCGGGAGGTCCCCGTCGCAGCTGAGCCCGACGGAGGGGCAGGAGGAGTAGGTGCTCTGATCTTGCTCGTTCCCGAGCCACCTGCCTCTGTGCGTCTTGACCACCTAGATTCCTCCGTCACCACCGGAGTGCGAACAACATTCGGGCCCGCCTTTACAATCTATCTGCTCAACAACAGCATCAGCAAAGTCATTCCATGCGGCGGAATACGTATTCGGTTCGTGTTCTTCGTCTTGTACACCTATCGAATAAACGCATGTTGCTGCCTTAATATATGATGCAGCTGCTACTCTAAATTTCTTCACCAGAGGGGTCTCTGTACCAGCATCGTGGGATTTTGTCTGTTGCCCTCTCATACGGTAGAACAACTGGTTTTCATTTCTCAGCGCCATGCTGGCTCTCGGGCGCGAGAAGTGTTAATTTGAGACATATGTTAAGGTTTGTAAGATAGACATTATATCGTCGTCTCCTTCCAATGTCGGCGAATCTCGAGACGAATGATCCCCATCCGACTGAGCCGTGGGGTTAGCGCCCGGGATATCCAATGCATTGTCGTCTCCACCTTGGTCGGGGGGCGACTTCTTCAGCTGAGGCAGCCTTCGCCTCGGCGGGTGAGGAGTGCGCTAATTTAGGCTGTTCACTCATGGTATTGCCTTCGACATGATGCGCATCTCCCCGGCGTCTGACCCAACTGGGTGCCTGTTTGGAGCGAAGCTCATTTCCCTGAGGGCTCTGACCGACAGGCGGAGAGTCAGAAACATTGGCCCCAATGAATTCGTTCAATTCGGGCAGAGGATCACGGACACTTGGTCTCCAAGGCTCGCTGCCAACTGCGTCTTTGCCACCCGGCTTAGCCGGTGACTGAGCAGTCGTAGATGCAGCGGAGTCTCCATCAAATCGCGGCATCTTCGCTGGCGGAGGACCTACTTCCTCTGACCTTGGTCAGAATTTCGGCGGAGGTGGCGCTTTCTTGGAAGAAATCTCTTTGACCGGCGGAACATTCGCCTGCTTCGCATTGCTCGGCCTATGGTCCGGAGGCATCGCTGGCGTTTGAATCGCCTGTGGAGCCCCCTTGGCGGCAACCTCTTTCGGTCCTCCAGGAGGAGGAGCCCTGAGAGTAGAGGGCCAACTGGCGGCCCCAGGGGGCGGCGCTTTGCATGTCCTCCCTTGTTTTGCAGGGGCCTGTCCAAGGTTAGGGAAATCCTTTTTTATCGATCGAGAATGGAGTGCCGGACGGCTTAGCCGCCGGCTCCTTTTCGCCCCCCTCGGCCGCCTTCTCCTTCTCCAATCTGTTCTGCTCAGCCAATTTCATTGATTTCTCCGAGGCCTCGCTATTATGTATTGCATGAATCTTAGTTAATATGACTCCTTCTTCTTGAAGCCAAGGCCAAATGTCATCGTATGTGTCCTCGTCAGTTTCTACTTTGCCCATCAAATATGCGCTCTGTCCCACTTGCCAGTTGATCGAATTCAAGCCTGGGGCCCAGGCCTTCTGGGCGTCCCGGACTTTATCCGTGGCTTCGGTCCGTTCCTCATCTCGATACCTTTCGACTTCAAAGTCCATTTCCAGGTTCCAATCATTTTGTCTGGCGAAATGCAGTAAATGCGACCACGCATCAGTAACCCACAATGCTGCCGCGGTCCAATGATAGAGTCTCAACTCGTACAACACATCGGTCATCGGATCACTCACATACTGAGTCGGTGATCCTTCAATGGACCTTGTCGTCGTGGCATAGTAGACAATCTCGGCAGTGATCGAAATACCATATCCAAAGGTCTCCTCCGCAATAGAGAATGTAGTGTGAGTGTTGGGGTTATCAGAACATGGGAATGAATGCGCTCCAACCGCATGCGTTTTCACACTCCCCCTGCATTTGGGATTTGATGGGAGCAATTGGTGGCCCTCCAGAATCGAATGCAGGGCAGTCGCAGAAGTGCCGTGTGACTGTTTTGTCCACCCTGCGGATGAGTCTGAGACTTCCGCAACCTTTTCTTTCGCCACGAAGAAAGGCAGCGTTAATTCAACGAAATGGGCCCTGCCAACCTTATGGGATCTCGTTCTCAACTTAGCCCAATTCAAGCGGTCAGCCACAGTGGCTGTGGGGCTTGCTATCGACCTATCGGCCTTGATTCTGAAGAAACGAGCCCAATTCGGCACTATATAGTTCCGCGTCGCAGGCGGGACTTTTGTCGTCTTTCGGAGCAACTGGAAGGCAAGCCACGCTTCACTCTTACCATTTTTCAAAATCATTTTCGTCTGCTGGCTTCTAGCCGGTTCTTTTCCCTGAGCGACCTATGCAGCGCGACCTTCTTCTCCCGGATAGGCGCTCATAGGCATCATGCCCCGATGAAGGTCCCCGCTGGCAACCGTAAACGGACAGAGGAAGTCATTGTAAGTAACCTCTGTTGCCGACGAACTCTGGAAGGGCAGATTCGTTATCTGCTGATATACGTGACAATATGGCTTGGGTTCTCTGAAGACCTTTCGTCTTGAGAAGTGGTTCACACCGATCGGAAACCTGCAATCGCTTATTCTCTAAAAAAGGAAACCCAATCATTTAATCATAAAGACAATCGGAAATTTATTATCTACATATTACTATTCAATTATCTTGTTCGGAAAACCATTTATATGTAGGGGGCAACTTCAATTCTGACGTTGTTTTTGCAACCCCTCCCTATCGTATTTTATGTGGGCCACGAAACGCGTGAGGGACGTGCCAATGCAGGCCAGAAGCACCAGTCTGGTGGACATGCCCGAGGGGGGGTTCGCGGATCTTGCCACGAGGAGCACCCGCTGGGGCCTACTTGAGGCCCACGGAGCGCGCAATGACGGGGGGGATCATGATGGAATGAATGGATGCGGTGTTGCTGATGTTGTTGTTGGTGCCGATGGGGATGCTGGCGGTGATGCTTATGTTGGCGCTGGAGGCTATCGTTGCAGGAATGGGCCTTGCCAGGCGGACGGTGGCGAAGCCCGAATGTTAAAGACCGCCTCACAAAGCCAAGAAATGGGGATCCGAGCCCCCCTCTTCCACCTGCAAGATTTACACGAGATTGACAAACCGCGAGCACTACTCAGCCGAATAAGAACGGGCCCTCTCACCCGCTGCAGAAGCCACGCACTGCGGTAAGTAACAGCTCGCGGCAAGCAATCCAATGCAGTGCTCAAGCAAGTCAGCCGGGCGCGGCGAATGCAAAGCCATATGCGGGCCCAGGACAGCGGCACGGGCCCCTCGCAGGCCCTGGCCAGCGCCGCGCGCAATTTCGAGACGAACCCAGCGCCGACGGCTCAGAAGCAAGCGACGCGCACCGATCGGGAACAATGCAACATCACACCATCATCCAATCATTGCTGGAAGTTGTGCTACTGCCATGCAACTTGCACCCAAACTCCTGATGCCCAGTGCAGCGAGTCGGGGCGAGGAGACGCGAGCAACCCAGCCTGCGCGGGGCATCTGGCCCGCCTGCCCACGCGGAAGCTTTTTTTCTTGTGCACGTCAACCCGCGCGCTCGTCGGAAGACTTGCGCAGTGAAGTCCGGCTCACTACAAGACTATATGTTAAGGACGTTATACACCATGGAATGCGGATGCCTAAATCAAGGAAGCGAGTTCCCAGCGGAGGCTTACCTCCAGGATCGCTCAATCCTTCATCAAATCACAAATGGTGCCCGACCCCTTGCCCTCAGAAGCCGAAGCGCTGGGCCTCGCAGCCGAAGCGATGTCCACATGGGCGTATAGAGACATCATGATACCCAGGATCGCGCTCATTGCGAAAGCGTTGCCGCCCAAATCCATCAGCAAGGAATCGTTCGGCTTGTAACCTGGGCAGTTATCCAGGATCCTCATGTCGTAGCCCTGCAAGTTCAGAGTCTCCCACCCGAGGAGCAAACGATCATCCTGTTGTTGCTCTATCTCGTCGCCGTGAACTAAGTAAGGGTTAAAGAGCCACGTCGTGTTCTTGGGCACCAACGTATGCACCTCGTTGTCACGGCCGAATGCTAAGCGATCGATGGAAGGGCGCAGGTCCACAGACTTGAGAGCCCACCCCTTCTCCACGCCGCAACGAACAGCGAATCCTACGCATTCTTGCTCGCGCCTCGGCAGCGTGGTGCACCACAAAAAACTGCGAATGTGGGCGGGCGTTTCCACAAAAGACCTGTTCAGGCCCTTCTTTGACAAATGATCGCGGTGAAGCTTTGGCCAATCGACTCCTTCACCAATTGTTTGTGTTCTGTCTACCGCTTGGCGAGCTTGGCGTTCCTGCGCGATGCGATCGTCGTCGCGACGGAAAAAGAACTGTTGCAACGGCAGGGTCGGCATCTTCAGCTTCTCAACGAAAGCCAAGATCTTGCTGCGCAAATTGGCGCTCGAATCCTGCGAGAGGCCGAAAGCCGGAGCGTGCACCAACAGGAAAAAGACTCGAGTACGCCGCTGCGGTAGTCCGTAGTCGGTGCTCTCAATGAGGATGTGGTTCCCGTAGTAGTCGAGGTCTGCGAATGTGTTCCAGAGCTGCTCTGCAATCTCGGGCTTTGCTACGTTGGGCACGTTCTCGAGGATGACCACTTTGGGCCGATTGAGCCTGCAGTGGTCGACGACCCCTTTGAACGTGGGGCCCGAGGTCCCTGTGCTCGACGTGAGGATGTTCTTTTTATCAGCGGGCGCCACCTTCGAGAAACCATGCGGAGATATTTTGCTGACTCCCCCCCCCTCCCCCGCCGCCCCTCCGCCCGAGGGAGGGTGGCAGGGGGAAACATCATATTGGACCAGGGCCATGGCCATGGCCCATGGCTTTGGCCGCGGGCGCCTTGCGAGACAGCTGCGAAAAATCTTTGCCGCTGAACCCTGCGATGAAAATATCTCCGCCGGATGGCACCTCGCACTGGCCCTGGTGGATGCAGCACTTTGCGAGCCCGCGACCAAGACATTGGACGTCTGCAAACAAGCATGGCGAGGTGGCGCTGGGCCCTTTGCTCTTGGTCAACATGGGATGGGCGATCTTGGACAAGTGCTGCTGCTTTGCTGCATCGGACTCGCACGAGAAATCCACGACCGTGGCGTGCTTCCGATAACCCATGATGACATGGTGCGCGATCTCTGACATGCCGCTGCCGCTGCAGGCCGTCGACAGAGTGATCGGCCGACTGGTCGAATTCAAGAACTGCTCATTCATTGCTGGGTTGAATTGCTTCAAGACGTGAGCAAAGAATCTGCAAGCAAACGAAGCCTTGCGCCCTGCGGCTGAGGGCCGCTTCATCTGGCGCGACTGGCCAGCAGCGGCGGGCCTTTTCATCTGCGGCATCCCCCGAAGTCGAAGCACTGTCGAAAGCGTTCCTGACTGCAGGTCGCCAGAGAGGGCTCGGGCCGAATAGTCTGCGAGAGGCAGGCCCCCACGGCGGCAGCAGCAGCAATCCGCGAGGTAGCCGCGAGGTGGCATGCGAGAGGAGGATTAGAATGAGGAGGAGGATGGCAACGCACAGCGTGAATGAATGAATGAATGATTCATGAAAGGTGGGCGTGGGGCAGGAGCGAACGGTCCAACGCTGTCCCTAGGCGCGTGGCTGAATTGGGGATCTGCGGTGGCGATGTTACGATGTTGCTTGTTGCTGATATTTGTCTTGTTGTTGTAGCCGCCACTCCCGCCGGCGCGCCGCGGGCGGGTCGCGGGACGGCGCGGTCAAGAGGGTGCCCGAGGAGGAGAATTCCAGGAGGTCGCCCGCCCCCCCGCCAGGGAAAGAAGAAGAAGAAGGAGGTGGAGGAGGAGGGGGGGAAGGAGGAGGAGGAGGAGGAAGAAGAGGAGGAGGGGGAGGAGCAAGGCAACGAGGATTGATATGAATGCCAAGGCGTGCTGCAACCAGCACCTGGGCAACGCACCACGCGAGAAGTGTTCATGTTTTCAATCGCCCTGGCTCCAGTCCACGAGCCAGCTTCATCCTACCTAAAGGTGGCTGCAATCAAACGGGTAAACCACTGAGTTTCACATTGTTGCTCAAGTAGGGCCTGGGCCACCTGGTCAATGAGAAATCCCCGAACGAAAGATTATACTGCCCAGGGCCCGACGAGATCAGGCGGCCTTCAAACGCTCTTGGAGTCTTGGAGCCTCGTTGGCCCTACGTTTGTTCGATCGATGTTTGATTGCTCCCCAGGCCGTCGTTCGCGGTGGGGTCAAAACAAAAACTCGCTGTGCCTAAAGAACTTGCTCACAAGTTCAACGCGCCAAGATGCTGTGGCCGACAAGCCCCGGCCGCGCCCGCGCCCCCTGCCGCGGCCTTGGCCCGTGGGCCCGCGGCCTTTCTTGCGCGGGGGCTCGACGGCGTCGCCCTCGCCCTCCACGTCTCCAGGCTCAGCAGCAGCGGCGCCCCCAGGCGCAGCAGCAGCGGCACCGCCTCTGCCAGCAAGACCGTCGCCGGCGGCCGCAGGCGGCTTCTTCGCCGGCATCGGCGCCGACGTACCCAGCGCGAGCACCTCATTGATGTCCTTGACCATCCCCTGGCCGATGTACGCCTGCATGCCCTCGGTGCCCTTGTTGAGGTTCCAGGTGTTGCTGAGGTCCCTCCGGAGGGTCACGCCGCGGGACGCAAGGGACCTGATCTCTGGGTTGTGGAGGAACACGACGAGGCCCCACTTGATCGTCTGCGACCTGGCCTCAGTCAAAGTTGTGTCCGCTGTCTTGGTCAAGCCCTCAACGTCGTCGCAGCCTGCCTCCGCGTGCGAAGCCAACGCTGCCTTCAGCTGGCCGCGCAGCGTCTTGAGTGAGCCCATCTTCGCCATGTCGTAGAAATCGTGGAACTTCTTGTTGTCTGCCACGACGTCGGCACCTGCCAGCGCGTTGTTCACCTTACCCTGGAGGAGGACCAGCTTGTTTCTCAAGCTCTCCACGTGCCTCGTGGCGGGCTCGTCCAGCGTGGGCCAGATGAGTTTTACCACGTCCATGAGTTCGTCTGCCTTGTCGCCGCCAGCGAACCACGCCAACTTCGGTTTCACCACGTCCGTGTTCAGCATCGCCTTCACGCGAGAGACCATCTTCATGTCTGGCTTGAAGTCCGTAGGTAAGCCTTTGCAAAGCACGATTGCTCTTGGCGAGAACTTGAAGAAAGGAAATATAACATCGGCCAACGTTTTGAAGCATGCTGCGTCGTGGTCCTTCGTGTCCGAGTAGATCGCCAGCTGCTGGATGGCCAAGTCCTGCGTCTGGTACGCCTCGATGTTTTTGTCGATGAGCTTGGTGAGCTTCTTCGTGTCCTCCTGGTTGGCGCCCTTCAGAGATATGACGTTTGCCGCGGTGTCGGAGATCAGTACTTTGATATGCTCAACCTTCTGGTCGTAGGCTATCTTCCCGTGGCTGACGACGCCGAACTTCTGGCCGAAATCCACCAGTAGGGTCTTGATATTTTCAGGGGATCTACATTGAGCACCTTGTTGTGCACGCTGCTGAGGCGAGCCAGTACGCTCGACATGTGCTTCTGGTGCTCGTCGCCTCCGAGAGATTCATCGCCAGGTTTGTTCGCGAGCGTCCTGAGCAAGGTCCGGAGGCAGGCCATGGCGTCGCTGATGGTCTGCATCTTCTGCTTCGCGGTCGCCAGGGGGGTCGAGGCCGACCCGCAAAGGGCGACAAGGCTCGGGAACCTCTTCAGGAGCTCGTCCAGGTCGAACGTGCCCTTCAGCCGAGACGCTTCCACTGCGACGTTCACTAGCTCGAACTCCTTCTGGATATCCAGCATGCCGTGCGACTCGTCCACGGCGGACTGCAGCATCGACCCCAGGGAATCTATGCACGAGGTTGTCTCGACGCCAGCTTTCATCTCCATGGCTGCAAGCGCGCTTTCGAAGCAGGCCCGAACCTTCTCCACGTCCTCGGCAGCGGCGCAGACAGCGAACAGGTTGGCGATGGCGTCGCTCAAGCCCTGCTTGTCTGCTTGCAAATATACATTGTTACCGCACTTCTCGAACTCCTTGTTGAACGCGCGGGCGGCGTCCTCACCGAGCCAGGATATCGGGCCCATGCCCACTCAGACGCCCCTGCTTTCTAAGAGATCATGCGCGCCTTCTCTGAGAATCCCCTGCCTTCGAAGAAGCCCATGCCTTCAAACCAGCCCATGTGTTCCACTGACCCCCCCCCCCCTGGACCCCATCGGCGTTGGGCCCGCGTGGGCCCCATGCCCCCCCGAAACCAAACGAGTGCATCTGTCGAGCGGCATGGGTCCTGAATCCGGCGACCGCAGCTCGAAGTGGTAGCGGGGCATGCCTTCCAGAAAGCAGCGTCGCCGAGAATGGTCGCGAGCACGCCAGTGTAAGTAGCGTCGGCTCTCTTGTCTGAAAGCCACTGGAGGTCGGATGCACGATCGTCACCCAACGTCTCCCCGAAGCCCAGCGCACCAGCCATACGCCCCAGGTCGTCCGCCACTTCCTCGGGGATGCCATGCTCGCTCGACGCCAGGCCCCCAGCAAGCCTGGCGACCTGGGAGACTGCCTCATCAGCGCCCTCAGTCGAGAGGTAGCCCGTGGCGAGGGTGATGAGGCACTCGCTGATGACATTCTCAGAGACGACCTTCAAGTCTACGTCCAGATCGCCGCCCATGCGTTCTGCAAGGAAGCCCTCCTTCAAGCTCAGGAAGTCGAGCAACTCAGCGACCTGCTTGAATCGGACAAGGTCGAGGGCCTTCTCCCTGAAGAACGCGACGACGTAAGCGATCGGGATGTCGACGCCGTTGGCCTTCATTGTCGCGAGCAACGACTCCAACTTGTTCGAGTCGGGGTGCGTCTTGCTGAAAAGCTGGAAACCGTCCGACGTGCATGTCACCTCGGGGGGGCGCTCCAGTGCAAACAAAAACTTTTCAGAATTTAGCTGCCAGTTCTGCCAAATCGGCGCTGGGGACCTTCTAGAGGCCCGTCAGTAGGCCTTGAGAAACACGCAAAAAGAGGAGGAGGAGGAGGAGGAGGAGGCAGAGGAAGGAGGATGGCGAGGGGCTGGGCGGGGGCAGAGGAAGGAGGAGGAGGGGGAGGGGGCTTTCCTCCTCCTCCTTCTTCTCCTCCTCCTCCTCCCCCTCCTCCTCCTCCTCCTCCTCCTCCTCCTCCTCATCGTCATCATCCACAGGGTGCTGAGGGCAAGTTTGGCATGGCGGTCACCCTCTGCCTCCGCGAAGTGACCTCCTGCTCATCGTGCTGCGGGAGATCCACCCACTTGCGGACCTTATTGTCAAGGTTGACGACCTTGCCCTGCAGCGCCCCTGCGGCCTTCTTTAGCTCCGCGCACTTCGCGGGCAAAGTCTCGTGGTTGGCGCCGATGAGGCATGATGTGAACGGCTCGATCTGCATGCTCTTGGAGATCTCCTCGAAGTCGTTGCGAATCTGCTCCAAACCGAGGGGGTCCAAAATCTCAGTAGCGGACTTGCCGAGCATCTTCGCGCTCATCGCAACGCGCCCCCTCTTGCCGGCAGAATCCGCTGGGGGGCTGGCGGATGGCTGTCGCTGCGGCGACCTCGCACGGGCGCGGGCGCCGGCGGCGGCGGCGGCGGTGGACCTGCCGCGGGCCGGCGCGGCAGCGGCAGCGGCAGGCCCGCTGCCAGTCGAAGTGGCCATGCGGGAAGGGGCCGCGGTCGAGCCTCCTGAAGAGAGCAGCGAGGACCCCGCGAAGGACAAGCCGTCGTCCTCGTCGACATCATCAGCGGGGATGGGTTCCTGGGTGGCGTCGCCGAGCTCCTCTGGGCCCGCGTCCTGCGCCGCCTTCGTAGGGGTGGTGTACTGAGTGTTCTTGAGGCTCTTGCGGGCGTCGGCCATGGTGTCCTTGAACATGCGATCGAACTTGGCTTTGAACTGCCCTTGCCGAACAACGTGGCTGCCGTCGTCCACCGTCTCGTCCATGCGCGCGCCTCTGCGGCGCTTGACGGTGACGCCCCACTCGCCCTCCTTGTTCTTGGGCAGGAGCACGACCTCCTGATAGACGCCATCGAAGACATCCCAGGTAGTCTCCAGCTTCTCCTTCTCAATCCTCCCTGGAAAATCCTCTTTGAATTGTTTCACAGCGATCGCCTTGAATTTCGAGCCGATGTCAAGAGACTCCTCGGTGAACGATTTGACGACACGTTTCCTGTTCTCTCGGTGCCTGTCCTTGATTTTGCCCTTCTCAGCTCTGGAGCATCTTTCGGGTCCCTCCTCCATGTCCTTGATCGCTAGGTTTCTTGATGACGTCCGCTCGGCCTGGACCTGTGCGTGCCCCTTCCTGGTCTCGACAAATTCGTCCACGTTCTTGTGCTCTGCGGACCACCCCCCATCGCCCCAGGTGCGCATGCAGACCCTGCCCACCCGGCCGACAGGATTCTCTGACGACCCTCTGCCCCACGGCAAGAATGGAAATACATCGACGCCATTTGGCCCAAATTGCAACGGTCTCTCGTCGGCGTTGCACTTGAGACGCAGCGGGCAACGCTTGACGCAGACGAAGACAGTCGTACCGATAGTCACTGGGCCGCCAACTGTGCTGAGAGGGCGCCCGCCCGCAGCGCCACTGCTCTTACTGGAGACCGACTCCGCCATGTGCCAGACAGGTAGCGCTGGCAGTTGGGCGCGAAGGTGATCTGCTTTCCGAAACTCTGCAGCAGTTCGTTCGGGCTTCGAACAGCTGCGGAAAGGCCCAACAACATCAAAAGCATGAGGAATGGTGAAGAGGGGAAGGAAGGATGAGGAGGAGGAGGAGGAGCATCAAGGGAAGCACGGGGAGGAGGGGGAGGAGAAGGGGGGCCTGCAGCATCAGCATTCCCACTTTTGTTCCTGGAACGCGTCCTCAAGGCGCGCTCCAGGAACAAGAGTGGGAATGAGGATGAGGGCGAGGAGGGGGGGGGAAGGCTGGTTCAAAAGATTTGGCCCCCACCAACGGTTCGGAAGGAGGAGGAGGAGGAGGAGGAGGAGGGGGAAGAAGAGGAGGAGGAGGAGCGAAAGCAGGAGCAGGATAGGCAGGATGACTGCCGACCCCTAGAGCGGGCACGATGGCAGGCCCTCGGCATGCGACCTCGCTGCCACCCCCAGCGTCCTCGGGACTTGAAGCTAGCTTTGTAGACCAGGGCCGCTGGCCCCTCCCCTGGAAGGCCCCACCATCACGAATCCAAGATCCCCCCCCCTGCCTTCTCCACCTCACGCAAGAGTCCAGGGCTGCCAGCAGTCGCGGGCCATGATGGGGGCGAGAATGACCCAGGCCCGAAGCCCTGGCTGCAGCGGGGTCGCCAAAGGCAACGGGGAGCTGCGGGCCGCCAGCGGGGGGGGGGGGGCCTGGGGGGCGCCAAAATGACGAGATATAGATTTGAGCTGGGTCCACGCAGAAGCCCCCGAGAAATCCAAATGTTTGCGTGCTCGATATGGAAGGAGAAGCGTTACGTCCGAACATCTCAAGATTCTGCTCAAGATATCATTGTTTTTTTGTGAATATGCGTGTGGCATATAAGTACATTCTCCCTGGAACAAAAGCATTTCCGGACGTGCATTTCCGGATGGTACAATTTCCGGATAAGGCAGCAAAGCGGAGCGTTAAGGCTACAAAGTGGAGGGTTAAGCAAGCAAAGAGGAGGGTTAAGCAAGCAAAGTGGAAATACAGATATGTCTCATCCGGAAATGAAGCCCCCGATTGCAATGTCATACGGATTTACATGTGTGTGCATACATAAATGATATATGATACCATGATTCATCCTGCAACGTCCCATTTGGTTGATACGATTGCGTGTGCACCTGTAATTCCCCAAGAAGATGTCAACGCGGATTTGAACCCTGGCCCTCTGGCCTCGAGTGGAAGCGTGCCTCGTCGCCGCAATGCTATCGCTGGGCCTCTGTGGGTGATCTACGCTTGCTCCGCCTCTCTCACTGTCCACCCTGTCCATCGTCCTGACTCGGCGCATCGCTTCATGTGCTCGATGCCCCCCCCCTCCTCCCCCCCTCCCCCTCCCCCTCCTCCTTCTCCTCCTCCTTGCCGCCGCCCCGGCCCGAGAGGATTTCGGGTGCCTTACCAGGTAAGGCGACCTCTCACCCGGGGCTGCTGCCAGACGCGCCCGCCCTTCCCGCGTGCCCCGCCACGGCGCGCAGCAGGAGGGCCAGCCGTGACAGAGGCGAGCCGGCCTGGCATCGTCGTGCCAGGGCCGAACGAGGCAGGGCCAGGACCTTGCTACGTATCGCCTCAGCTAGTGCATTGTTGGGCAGACATCACAGCAGCATGACGAAAGGACGTGCTAGAGGTGACAGCAGAGTACGACAGGATCGCTCAGATCGAGAACACGAGCCTCGCTCCCCGCCATGGAAGACAGTCACCAAGTACAAGCGCCTATGGGAATGCCCAGCATGTGCATATCACAATGCATGGGCCGCGCAGGTGCGTGCCAAATGCCATCCCAGCCAAGTCTCAGATCGGAGAGAGCGACGAGCCAGATCGGCGTCACGCCCACGTGGCCAGCGTAGAACTGCCACCTCGCAGCCCCCACAGCGAGGCGCGGTGAGCACGGCCAACAAGCAGATGGAAGATGACCCAGATGGGATCATTCCGACCATGCCGGCATCCCCTGAGACGGCGCAGGCACACCGACGATGGCGAGAACCGCCACAGGACCCACAGCAGCTGGGGGATTTCAGGAAGGCATTGGCCGCGACAATGGAGTCCATAGAGCGCCAGCTGCACTGCGCGGCCGCGCTCAACCTCGACCAAGAACAGGTGGGCCGCATGCAGGAAGAGTACAGCGTACTATTGTATCAGATGATGCAGTCCAGGTCGCCCCAGGCCAGAATCACGAAGCAGCGCATGTTTGTCGGCCGCTGCAAGAAGCGCCTCATGGACGCCCAGGCGAAGATGCACTTGCTACAAGAGCAACTAGAGGCGGCCGACACTCAATGTCAAGTTCTCACAGACGAACTCGCACAAGCAGAACAGTTACTGGAACACTTTGAAGACTTGGATGACGAGCAACCAATCGCAGGCAACATTGCTGTTCCTGACGATGATGATGACGAGCTCATGATGGACGGAACCCAGTCGAGCTTCCGCCCAGGGCAGAGAGGAACAACCAGCAGAGCACCATGGTCGACAGCCAGTTCCTCACCGTTCACGACGCCGCCCAGGACAGCGACAGTGCAGCGCACGACAGCTACTCCTACCGCGGCCTCGGGAACGCCTGCCCAAGCCACAGCAGCTGGCGGACAGGAGACACCGCGCTCCCAAGCCGCCTCGCCCAATACGCAGGTACCGCCTGGAGGGCACGCTGCAGTGGCCATGGCAAATGAAGTCAGCATGCCAGCACTTTTGGCAGCAATACAGCAGTCCAATGCACAAATGTTGCACAACATGTCATCGTTCCAGCAGACCGTGGCCACTCTCCAGACTGAGATTGCCAACATCAGGACTGAGAAGAAGTCGGACATGGAGACCATCACCGCTGCCGCCATCGACGCGGCCAAGACGGCAGTCGCCATGCAGACCCCCAAGAAGGACAAGGACAAACCGGTGCCAGCGGAGATCCAGAAGGCCAACCGAGCCAAGCTGGAGGCGGCCCTGATGGGGCGCAGAGCTACACGTTCGGTATCTCCTAGACGGCACACGGACAGTGGACAGGCGGGGGCCAAAGTCCTACGAGCTGATCGAGAAGGCGGAGGAACCATGGGCGCAGGTGCAGGAGAAGTTGCAAGCCGTGAGGCTGCAGAGGAAGCGGCAGCCAGAGCTGCCGCAGAGGATAGTGATCATGCGGCCCTGCAGTCGCCTGCGAGTGTTGCCCAGGCTCTTGTTTTTCCGCCAGTCAGCGCAACACCAGCGAGCCCACTTTTTCGCTAGGGGCCGTGTCAGAAGCGTCTCGGCCCCCTCTGAATTCAAATACTCCCATCCAAGATCCAGATTTTCCAGCTAGCCCATTCCCCAGTGAAGAGGACAAGCCAAAGGAAAATTGCTCGGAACACCTCGGATACCACATTTGCAGCAATCCAGTGGAATCAACGACAGGTGCTCCTTATTCTCCCATCCCGCCGCTCCACTCCACCAAGAAGTTATTAGAGAAGAAATGGCCCATTCAGCTTTCCAATGACTTGTTGTCGTGGGCACAATTTTGGCATTCTTCTACAGTGTCGGCCTTTGCCAGTCTCATACCTTTTGACCCGAAGGTCCAGATTGACCATCTCAGGATATACACAGATGCGACGGCAGGGACCTTCAAACATCAGGGACAGACGTGCTCGCCAGCATGGGCTTTCTGTGTGCTCGCTGTCACCACTTTCGGAGTTTCCTTCCTAGGATTCCTTGCTGGCCCTCTGCAGGGATGGGATGCTTCTGATGCGAGAACCCCGTTGAGAGCCGAGCTGGAAGCGGCCATTTGGGCCACAGCATGGCTTTTGCAAGCACCATCATGTTGCAGGCAGGCTCCGATATGTTTTTACACTGACAACATGGACGTGTTGCGTATTTACCAAGGAGGGTATGTGCACGGCGTGCTGTTACCTGCTAAGACGTTACTTGACAGTCTTACGCAGATCATACGAGCCTGTGTGATTGCGGTGACGTATGAACATGTACATGGACACACTGCACACCCGTGGAACGAGTGCGTGGACACGCTTGCACGTTTATATGCCATGCGTGTACTGCCCGATTTTATTGAGCCAGCGTGGAGATCCCTTATACATCAGGACCCCCACCAAAAGGCCCTACCCTGGATTTGGTTACTCTTCTCCGACTCCAGCACACGACAGGCTTACCCACCCAACCACGGTATGCCTCTCCCTACGCCTCAAGTCCCCACTACGGGCATTCGGGAAATTTTACCGAGCCCCAAGAGACCCATACGAGGCCGACATGTCTTTGCCATGGGCTGGATGGCCATGGCCAATGTGCTCTCGCTGGACCCCCGGGCCTACAAGGGTTCCCGACAGGCACACGATAAGTTTCAGGGTTTGAACGCCACAGGCCGCATGATGCAGCTGGCGGGGCAGTTTGCGCAACGGCCCTACTTCATAGTAGGCACAGTTGAGACGCGTCTCAGGCGGACAGGCACATCCGAGCTTGGCCCGTACTTCCTGTTGCACGCCCAGGCTAACGACTCCGGAGGGGATGGATGTACTGTATGGATCAACACACATTGGGAATACCAGGAGGGATGCAGGGTACAGCCTTCTCACTGCCAAGTGTTACATGCAGCGCCTGACATCATGATCGTGGCCGTGAGGGCCCCTTCACTTTCGCTTTGTGTATGTGTTGCTCATGCTCCGCATTCGCGCCGACCCCCAGCACACATACGACAGTGGTGGAAACAACTGCAGCAGCTTATTATACAGCACAGGGGTACGGCAGAGCATGTGATCACACTGATTGACGCCAATGCAGCAGTTGGGTCATACACGGACGCACATGTAGGGCCCATACATGCTGAGCCTGAAAACCTGCCTGGGCACAGTTTTCGTATGTTTCTCCAGGGCACAGCCCAATGGGCTCCATCTACCTTTTATGAAGACCCATCGGGATCCGCGGGTACCTGGACGGCACCGGGAGCACGCACCACACCTAAGAGGCGCGACTACATAGCTGTGTCCGCTGACATACGTGTGCCTGCGCAAGGAGTCGATCACGGCATCGACCTCGCAGTCACGCAGCCAGACCACAACGTGGTGGCAGCATGCTTACTTTTCCCGCCATCCAGCTTTGTGCCAACAGCACCGAGGCCATACAAGGTGCAGCACGATCCTGACATGTACAAGGATCCAGTGTCCATCAGTGTATTCCAACATCTGCTGTCGCAATTCCGACACCCCGACTTTGCAGTACACAGCACAGATCACGTCAAAACATGTGAAGAATACGTGAGGTATGCCATGGTCACAGCCTTCCCAGTACGTACGACGGCAGCGGGACGGCAACCACGGCAGTCATGGATCAGCGTCAGCACACTTGCTATGCAGGACGAGCGAAGTATATACTTACGCCTAGCTCGCAAGATCGGGCTGCAAGCTCACAGAGCCATGGTGCGAGTCATCTTTTTCGCCTGGCAGCTGCATTTTGCGACGACGGATGCAGAACATGAGAGGCCACGTGGCCATAGCAGCAGAAGGTCGCGGCGCATGCCATGCCTGCCTACCTTAGTGAGACGCACACGGCAGATGCAGCAGCCATGCCTCCTCCTTCCGCAAGCAACGGCATCTCTCTTGTGCCGAGAAGCGGATATTCGCAGGCAGCAAGGCAATGGCAGAGGCATAGGCAAACCACGTTTACTTGCTAAATGGGGACAGCAAGGGGTCACGGCCATCATTCTACCTCCCCCTTTCAGACCAAAGGAGTATCAGACGGGGCATGGGACGGAGACGGGAATATGGGACTACATTACGTGCTGCTGGGACTATGCGCATGGAGTGCGCGCCTGTGCCCTAGCACATCGTGAGCTGCTGTTATTTCACACTACACTACTGATCCGACATGCGACTATGCAAGATGCCTTGCATCATTACAACAACCTGGTGCAGGGAGTTTCTGATGCTTGGGATCGCAGGCGGTATGATCAGGTGTTTGCCAAACTACGTGCTATGGGAATCGGTTCGTCCAAGAAAGTGAACACCAGGGCCCTACCCATTCTAGAGCTAGAGGATGGCAGCATGGCTGCCACGCATGAAGCAGCAGCAGACAGATGGCTGCGTCATTTTGCAACAGAAGAAGTGGGAGTGGTGGTGCCAGTTGATGACGCCAGCACATTTGCGCGAAGTATCCCATCCCTTCCTCAGGAACTCACACACGATATCACGTATGATGAAGTGTTCCTCCCTACCCTCTTCAGCTACCAAAGAGCTTGCCGCACCGCCAAGTCCTCAGCTGCCAGCTTAGACGGCATTCCAGGGGCCCTTCTAAGAAGTTTTGCCAAGGTCCTGGGAGCCCTGTTCTACCCGGTGGTGGTTAAAGCTTGTACCCGCATCGAGGAACCCTTGCAATGGAAGGGGGGCAACTACTGGAACATCTGGAAGAAGAAAGCTACCCCGGCCATATGCAAGAACCATCGGTCGGTGATGATATCATCCCAACCTGGGAAAAAATACCGACAGCTGCTGCGGGCGCCGCTCGCAGAAGCTCTTCCTGCATATGCAGGGGACTCGCAGTATGGAGGAATTGCAGGGAGAGGTGTCGACCTTGCAGCGCTCGCTGTGCGTTCATTTCAAGAACTCGCACAGACGCTCAAGCTGTCAGCGCTCTTTTTCATGCTTGACGCAGTCTCAGCTTTTTATCGGGCAGTGCGCGAACTTGTTATGCAGTTGGGCACCTCAGATGCGGACCTACACAGCATATTACACACAGCGGGGCTCCCACCAGGTGCCATTGAGGACCTCAAGGCGCACATCGCGGAACATCGCACACTACTAGAGCAAGCAGGGATATCGCGGCACGTGCGCGCGCTCACAGCCTCTAGCTACTCAGGCAACTGGTTTTGGTACCCAGGAGCGTCAGCAGTCGCCTTCTCACTTGAAGGAGCGGTGCCAGGACAACAGCTAGGCGACGTAATTTTCAACTACGTAATGGCAGCATGCGTGAAGGAAGCTCAGCAGGGGCTGCAGGAACTGGAGCTTGATCTACGTATACCTATCTCATTACATGCATCAATGTCCGACATGATGCAGCACGCTCCAGACACTATGCGAGGAGGATTGGAAGTATGTTTTTTTCGACGACGGTGCGATTGTCGTTCTAGGAGCAGCCCTGCACTTGCTCGAAGCTGCGCCCAAGGTAGCGGCGGTGGTAGCTGCCAGCTTTGTGAGAAGAGGACTCAGGCTCAACTTTGCGGCAGGCAAGACGGAGGTGCTGTTTCAACTCAGAGGAATTGGCGCCAAGCGTGCCAAACGGGAGTTATGGCTCGAGCGAGAAGGCCGCTTCGAGATCCAATCAGAGCTCCTAGGACGCTTCACTCTGCTCGCAGTGAGGACATATCCACACTTGGGCACGCAGCTAGATGAACTGGGATCCATCGGGCCCGAGCTGGCCCATCGGGAAGCGTCTGTGAGGTCGTCCAGTACACTACTGCGTAGACGGGTCTTTGGCTCCCCTATTGGGCTCCCACCACAGGCCACTCTGCACTTTGTGGACACGCTCATTTTCGCGGGCCTCCTCTACAATGCAGGTACGTGGCCAGAACTCACGGAAGCTCAGCACGCGCACATTCAGCACCTGATCATCAACAAATATCGTCAGGTTTTGAGGGCCCCTCAGAAGGACTCTGAAGCGGACCCCGACAGGCTCATACTAGCAAGGGTACGACGGGCGGATCTGCGTGCAGTGCTTAGAGTACACAGGTTACGCTTGCTAGGTCGCCTATTACACCATGGCACACCTACACTACGCAGCCTACTTGCGCATACGTACCGCAAGGACCACATACACAAACGCACGTGGTTACACAGAGTACTACATGACTTACAGTGGGTGCGGACCAACAACCACCGACTGCGTGAGATGCCAGATCCAACTGAGGACTTCCAGGCATGGGAAGTTCGAATTGTGCAGTCACTCTCAGCTTGGAAGAAGGTATTGCATGTCACTCTTGCTGCGCATGCTGAGGCAGCGGCAAGAGCAGCCTTGGCTGACAAGGCACAGCAGGATTTCTTTCGACTTGTGCACCCGGCAGGAGTACCGATACCGATCACGAACGTGAATCATCCTCTTCATCCCCCCCCCACAGGTGCAGACCGATCTCAGATGCATGTGGTGTGACTATGTGGGCAAGACAGCAAAGAGCACGCGACAGCACATCGTGCGCGCACACTACAGCCAGGTACACGTGGTATCCAGATTCATGGGGGAAGGGACAGTACGCATGGCGTGCTCTATGGCCTTCTCCTCTAGGCGTCTCCTCAGGGATCACCTTGCCTTCGACGCAGCAGTGTGCCAGCTAGCATACATTTTGCACGGTGCTACGGTCCCTCCAGAGAGGGCAGAGGAGCTGCGACAGGCAGACCTTGATTTGCATGAGAAGCAGAGACGTGCTGGACTAGGCAGATGGAGAGCAGCATTCCCAGCACATGTGCAATATCCGACGGACGGGCTTTACCCTGCAGCCATGTTTGCAGCAGCCTTCTTCTCTGAGAGTGAGGCCAAGGAACTACTACGTACACATGCATACGAAATAGGACCTACTGCAATGTCGGCATACACAGCTCTCTTCAATGACCCCCCCCAGCCAGCACTGCAGGAAGGACTCACATTCAGTGACAGATACTACAGGTACCGACCGCAAGACTTCAGTGGACCAGCCGCTGAGTGGGTGCCCATGCGAATACACAGAAAGGAGATTTTTGTGCTCAACCTTTTTTCAGGCAAGCGACGCGAGGGCGACGTGCAGGCCTGGATCGAGCATGAACATGTTGCGTCAGCCTACCACATTATTATGCTTTCAGTGGACATAGCCATTGACACAGACATGGGGGACCTCATGCGCACAGATACTATCACACAGTGGGGTGAACACATCTTGGCCAGACGGGTGTGGAACACAGGGGGGGGGCCCCCCTGTGAAACCTGGAGCGCGGCCAGATGGCTGGACGGGGGTCCCCCCCCTTTACGTACACATGAGTGGTTCTGGGGCGTCCCTTGGGTTTCGGAACGACAGGCCATACAATTACATGCGGCCAACACGTTACTGCAGAACCTTGTGTTCCTCTTGGGCTGTCACATGGTGGCGGGGACCTCTGGGTGGATCGAACATCCCCTCCCGGCCCACTGGAGGCCAGAGGCCCCCAGCAGCTTCCACTGGGAGCCCCTCGAGGCCCTAGCCTCAGCCCCCATCACGATCACGGCCGACTTTGATCAATGCACGTTGCAGCCGACAGATCGAGACCCAGCGGAGTTTGGCAGAGCTCCCACGCGTCTCCTCGGACTGAGGATGCCATGTTTGCGACGACGCCTGTGCGACGGCCCAGGCAATGGCTGGTGTCACCACGGGAGAGGAGTGCACAAAATACTGCAGGGGAAGGAACATGTTGGAGGACGCACGGTCTTTAAGACGCATGCTAAGAAAACATATCCTGAGGAGATGTGTGCACGTTTAGCAGCAGCCATTGCAGCCTCCATGCAAAATATTTATGCAGATGCTGACAACGATGATCAGCAATTTGACGAGAGCGCGCTGTGCGCCGACCTACGCAAGTTTTACCTGTCAGAGATAGGTGCGGACTTTGACGCAGCACCAGATTTTGCAGGGATAACGACCAAGACACAGAGAGCAGATCCAGAGATGCACAGGTTCCAGGACGACCCCAATGAGACTCCCATGGGCCCCATGTGTGCTCCGACCCCAGCTCCCACCCCAGCTCCGACGCCAGCTAATGACAGCCCCAGCAGGAATATTCTCTTGCACGAGCCTGGACCGGATGAGGAGTTAGAGTGTTGGTTGAGGCCTTTTCCCTCTTCCCCCTCCTCTCCCCCGCCGCCGCCCCTCCCGCCTCGCCTCAGGGCGGAAGTACAGGCGTGGGTTTTGTCTTCCCAACGGGGGGCGCGGTGCGAGTGGGGACTGCCCGGCGTTGCGCCGTTAGTGACCCTCGCACCGTTGCTCCCCGGCATGTCTGATTTTGTTCCTGCGCCCAGGCTAGACCTGGGCTCCGCACGCCTCGTCAGTCAGTCAGTCCAGCCTCGCCTCACCCCCGAGCAGATTGCACGCATCGCGGCCAACCGCTCCGAGGCGCTGCTCAGGCGCCAGGCCAGGAGGGCCGCGGCCCACAGGCGAAGAGCGCCCTGGTCAGGCAGCCTTTCTTTCGCCTCCTTCTTCGAGGCGGGACCCACCATTGCCGCCCCCGCCGCCTCTCTTGGCTTTCCTCTTACAGAACAGGAGGCCTAGGCGCGGCAAGACGACGAGAGCACGCGAACCCTTCGCCATGCCTGCGTCCCACCACCACTCCTCCTCCTTCTCCTCCTCCTTCTCCTCCTCCCCCTCCTCCTCCTCTTCCTCCTCCTCCTCATCGTCATCATCATCATCCCCCTTCTCCCCCTCATCCTCCTCCTTCTTCTCCACCTCATCCTCCTCCTCCTTCACCTCCTCCTCCCTCCTCCTCCTTCTCCTCCTCTTCCTCCTCCTCCTCCTCCTCGTTCTCGTCCTCCTCCTCCTCCTCCTCCTCCTCCTTTTCCTCCTCCTCCTCCTTCACCTCTTCTCTCTCTCTCTCCGCCACCCCAAGGCGCCCAATGTGGTTCACACGCACGTCCCCGTGACCGTGTACCAGCTGGGCACCAAGGAAGTCGCCTGCACGGAAAAAGTAGCCGTCGCCACCATTGATCCTGCCGACCACGTATGCTGGATTCGGGTGACCATACATGAAACCGAAGCCATCGCCGCAGTCCCCTCCATGCATCAGGCCTTCGAGGATCAGTTTTCGGGAGGCGCCCCCGTGAACGGTGGTCCACGCGCCAAGGGTCCTTTCCGAGGGGATTCCGCTCCACAGGACAAGGCGCGCCAAAACCAAAAGCACAGGGAGTCTAAGAAAGACGCTCGCCGCCAGGAGCTCGACAGTCAGCTGCAGGACACCTTCAAGGCCCTTTTCCACGGCAACTTTAAAGCCGTCACTACCCTCGAACCCTGCAAAAGTCTAGGCAGGTACGGATCTGGTGTGGGAAAAAGGTCCCTGGCTGCCACTTTCGGCGTCAGTCTTCAAGCAGTTGACAAGGTCTTGGCGGGTTCGGGGCAACTCGGCGCCACCTACGACCTCAGCAACGTAGGTGCGGACGAGCCAACGGCAGACAAGTACCAGACCGTGTGGTTCCCCGAGGGCCAGCCCATCACGATGGCAGAGGCGTTCCAGAAGTCGGTGGACTTCAAAGCCCTAGGAGTCGTCAGGCACGGCAAGTCAGGCTTATTGGGGATCCGTGTTGCACGTGGGTCAGACGCCGCCAAGGCCGCTGCCGTCAGCATCCGTGGCTGCGAAGCCACTCTCGCCAAGACGCGATACCGCATCACGGGCATTGCGGCACGCCATGCCACGCTGACTCAGCTTGCCAAGACTCTCACGGGCCCGTCCGTCAAATGGGACTGTGAGGTCTACCACACCGCCTGGGACCCAGCCACTTCGGCGCAGTTTGCCTTAGTGCGCGCTCATCGTCCCCCACCCACATATACGGTACAGGTCGCAGGGTGCCCCATCCCGTGGAGCATCACCGAGGCCCCGTTGGCTGAGGTCGTGCCGAAGAGGGACAACGTTACCATTGTCACCCCTACCACTATCACAGAGTCTGTGACGCCGCCCGCCCGTGGTGGCGGCTTCAGCCCCGCCACGGGCACACTCCTGACCAAAGCGGCCCAGAGCCCCTACCTCCACGACCTCATGACTGCCACGCCCAAAGGCAAGGGCGTCGCACCGCTCCCGATCCCCAAGGAGGAGCCGTTAGCCAAGCGCCACCGATCCTCCAGCGGGAAACGCGACGCAACGCCGCGCGCAAGATCACACGGCGCTCCAGGCCGCAGCTCCTCTGCACCCCCGCGCGGCACAGATGGAGCTGCCGAGCAGACGGCCGTCCAAGGACCAGGTGGGGACGGGCATGACCCGCAACCTGGCACGGGGGCGGCCGAAGGTGGGGGCCACGCGGAAGGGCACGCTGACGCAGCCGCCGAGGCACCAGGCGACGTCGAGATCCTCTCATCAGAGGATGAATTCAGCGTGGCATCGCGCGAACCGAACACCCTCGGCGAACGCTTCGCTACGGCCCCTAAACTGTCAGATGCCGCTACGACCCGCATCCAACACATGGAACAACAGCACGAGCTGCTTGCCAACACGGTGGACAACATGCAGGTCCAGCTTGCGGGCGTCTCTCATCCCAGGCCACACTCACGGAGCACGTTACAGGCTTGGAACGAGGGCTTGCCACCGTCGTCACTCAGCAACAGACGGCAACTACCGAAGCTGCTGCACTGCGCGGCGACATCCAGGCCCTCCTAGGGCACCTCACGGGGGGTACCATTCACCTGCCCCAGGTGGCCACCCTCGATACCAAAAAGGAGGAAGCTGCACCAGTTGCCGATCCCGTGGCTGTCTGCAGGTGGATCGACCAGCCAGGCCAGGTCACCCCAGGGACGGGGCCCCCAGGGGCTGACAAAGGCAAAGACAAAGGGCGGGCCACACAGGAACCCTATTGAAGGTGCCTCAGAGGGCCCGCCTCAGCCCTCCGAGGAAGCGCCTTCAGAGGCATCCCTTCCCACTTCACGTCGTACCTCCTCCTTGCTATATCATGTCATTTTTGGCAGCAGCACGAGCAA